ATGCAACTGCCGACTGGATCTCACATACTTCGTTGAGACAGGTTACAGAATCTTTTTTTTAGTAATTTAGTAATATGCCAATTAATTTCATCATTTATACAGCAGGAACAACTCCTGTGTTAGTAACAATTCAGCACTCATTTATACAATAAATAGTATTATAATGGTACATATCGAGCGTACCAAGGCTGCACACCGGGTTAGTTATGCTACTGACCTTTACACTGGGCTAGGTTAATTATATTATTAGCCCTGATGCGGGGTACAGCTGTACCAGGCCTTATGTTTCTGGGTTGCATGCCTACAGTCAGGATCCATTGCCTGTTCGATGTATGTGCGCTACCCCTGCAAGAGTCGCTCGAGCGGTCGTTTTCATTCTCATGAGTACTGCTCACTAATAAGCAACGATAAGGTGAACAACATGCCTTGCCCATCGGATTTTGCTTTCTCGTGTGACCGTAATGATATTCTGCACGCCGCTCATCTACGGTATTATTGAGGGTATATTAATTTTAGTATCTTTATCGCACAATCTAGCTGCATTATACCCGTATCCTTTTATACAAATTTATCCACGCCAGAATTATATCATACATGTATTTTCGTTATTCAGAGTCTGAATTATTATTGTAAAGATGAGTATTTGCCTTCCCAGTGATGGCATATAAAAACATACTGTACGGTATCGAGAAGTTCTATTAATCGTGTTGTTTTGGAGAGGCGGTAATGCTGTGTTTGTTGGCATTACAGTAAGACGATTGATAAGCGCCAGGATTACTATAGTTTTCGGTGGCTCGCAGTATTTGTTTCGGTTGGGATTGCCGTCTGGGTGACAGTGCTGCCAATGTTTGGCCTGGTGGTAAATAGTAATGAGATCCTAGGAGCACAATAGAATCCTGCAACCAAAGCTAGATTCTAAATTTAATCGGTAAGAGAAGGAAATCACGGAAATGATGCACTACAAGTGTGGATGTAAGTTGTTCCTAACTTAGACTGTATTAAACAAGAAAATCGAGATATTAGACACAGGTAATGCATGTAACGATGGACAGATCATGGTGCACTTTGTGTTTCATCTCTTAGCTGTAAACAAGAATAGTGACGTACCAACCGGTAGAATTGGGAATCATCAATACATTCTGTCACCCATTATGCATAAGTTGTACAAGACACTAAGTTCTTGAAACCGGGATGAGGAGAACATTTAAAAAATGGAGAGAGAAGGAAAAAACAAAGAGAAAAATGATGGTGAGACATAGATTTAAGGACTAAAAGACCTAATTACAAAATTGAAAAAACACGTAAACAAAATTTTTCTTCTTTCAGACAACCAGTCCAAGGCCGGCACCGATCTCACATCGTTTGTTCACCTCGTTTACGAAAATTTCATATCGTCCTGTATTATTTGTAATATTTGTTACAGAATTATTTATTGGAGTGATTCTATTGTTCCTTTTCGTCGGGTATGTCACGGATCTTTACATATATCTCAGAGATAACTTGTTTGTCGAGGAAATTTTCAGTGATTCAGACTGAGATATTTCATCAACAGAAGGGCTTTGAGCTGGGACCAGAGGAGTGATCAGAAATTGTGGATTATGATCAGGAATTGGCCAAATGGGATGATCAGAAAGAGGAGAATACAGATCCACAACAAAAATCAGCCGATCCGGCAGCCAGTCATAAAAGAGTCAGCGGTCATAGTCAACAGAATGCTAGCGGTCGTAGTCGATTTGGCAGCGAAAACATTTGTAAAGTTAGTTCGGAATCCAGCCACCGTAGTCACTCCGGGAACTGCAGTTTGACGGCTAGTGCGAATCCCAAATTGATGTTGTTACTGAGGTGTTCCTACATTCCTGGGCTGGCGTGATGCTTCAGGAATATAAATAAAAAAGTAGAAATATCTGAAAATCATTTTCAGTAATGCATTGTACACTCGATTCATTGGCAGTAATGAACAGGCAGCGGCTGGTAATTTTCGTACCATTTTATTTGTTGGTTTAATAACATTTCACATTCTGTCGTTGCTCGAATTGCGTTGGACACTGAAGCGATGGGATCATTCATCCAGGTAAAGCTACGTCCAGGAATATTATCAAGAATACCAGGACCGCCCAAGCATCGATACGCCGAGTATCCTATGTAAGTGATGCTACTGGGATGCTCCAGTTTGGCGAGTGCAGCTATGCCAAATAGATAGAAGGGAATGGGAAGATTCCAGTTTAATATTTTATGTGAAATAAGCTAATGCGATTGGGCGAGGGGAGGGGAGGCCACCAAAGGCCACCAAATGAACCAATCCAGGGAAGTAAAAATACGGGCGTAACGTAACATTTGGGACATAAGAGTACCCATGTGCACTGTGATGTGGACATTACTGTCGGGGCTACTGTAGTAATGAACAGTGAAGGGGGAGTGAAGTGCTTTGTTCTCCTTCCGGTGATTTGTTGTCCTCCCGTGTTAACACTCGCCGCAGCCAGACATATTTCAGAACAAAGACTTATCGCAGATAGCAAAGTGGACAGAGAGGGCGAGCTAACTCATTTTGAAAGAACGGCCATTCGACGGAATTGTTCACTTTCAAAAAAAAAAAACTTATGTAAAATTTATGACAATTTACGCTGGCAAGCGCACAAAGTGGAGTGTAAAGCAACCACTCGTATAATTAATGGCCTGTATGCTCCAAGTTTAGTGCAAAAACGCATGATCGCACCGGCAATCTGGTACGTTCCAGCCTAGGTTTCTTTCAGATGGAACCCAAATTTGGGTCAGTAAACCAGTCAAAGTGCATGTATTTTAAATTCCAGTCGCAAAAGCTATTTTTTGAAAACACAGGTAAATTCCATTTTCAGATTGAACGTGTACATAGCGGTAGCAACAATGGAAATGGCATTACTGAACGGTTATATGTGGATTGCAGCGGTCAGCCATTCCTGGGGTCTGAACTATCAGCCATTTCTGGTGATTTTCGTCAACACTGTTATCCGTGGTACAATGATTGCTATTGCTGTAGCAGCTCGTTGGAGTATGGCAGAAATGTCACATCCAACCAGGACTCGAGATGCAACCGAGATTTACGATGCAACCGCTGATCTGGATAATGATGTGGATCACGAAGATGATGCACCGATTATCTATGAGATGCGACGCGATGTATTCACCTGAGAAAAAGCGATTTTTTTGGAAAAAAATATATTTTCTTCTCTTTTGTAATAATAAAATTTCTGAATACACGGTAGAAAAACTGTCTCTCTTGAGAAACAGCAATCTACTTGAGTATGATGGAATTCAAAAATGGATTAGCGGAAGAGATAGCCCATACATATTGAACAGGCTTTAGAGAATAACTAAAAGCATCCCGCTCAGAATCAAGCGCCTGACGTATGAAAACGTCTCACGATTGTTTTAATCATCTTCTAAAATCAATCGATATTCTGCCGCAACCACTGCAATGACGAGGTTCAGTTATGGCACTGGTAAGAAATGTATACGACTTTATGGACCGAAACATTTCTTTCCAATTTACTAACTTATTGAAATTTCAAATTTCGTCAACTTTTTCTTTTATTTCTTCATTCAATATCCTTTTCCCTTTTCATTCTTACAGTTTTAAACTTAATTAGAAATAAAATTCGAATATGCGGGAATACACGTATACAAGCATGCACAAACAGACATACACGCGGACAACCTGCCGATGTGGATTTTTGCTTTCATTGTTTGATGCAAAAAAAAAAAGCGAACCCAGGCTGGAACGCACCGGCGGACCCATGCGATCATACGGTTTTGCTTCGGACTTGAATTATCAGGACATTAAGTGCATGAATGGTTGTTGCTTTACACCCACCTTTTGCGGTCACTAGCATAAATTCCCATAAATTTTGCAGAAATTAAATGTGCAATTTCCATCTAACAGTCGTTCTTTAAAAGTAACCTAGCTGTTCAGTGAGAAATTTTTCGGCTAAAACTTTTAAGTGCCCGTACGTAAGAACCACGCGTAACTCAAGGTTGAATTTGAAATATTTGAGTTGTACTTGGATAGGGAACATTCCCCTAAAATTTCAGCCTTCCAGCTTTTCTGGTTACCGAGTTAGCAATTTTCCCACCAAAATTTTCACATGCCTACATGTGGTTACTCCGCGTGCCTGTAAAGCTAAATTTAAATTTTTAAATTGCACAGAAGGGAACACCCCCCAAAAATTTCAGCTTTCCAGCTTTTCTGGTTGTCGAGTTAGTAATTTTCCCGTAGAAACTTTCATACTCCCTTACGCGAATACCGCGCATAGCTTGGGGCTGAATTTGAAATATTTGAGTTGAAATTGGATGGGGAACGTTACCCCAAAATTTCAACTTTCTATCTTTCCTGGCTCTCAGGTAAGCAATTTTCCCCCTAAAACTTTCGTACGCCCTTACGTCACATGCATACCTGGGGGCTGAATTTGAAATCTTTAGCAAGTACATGAGCAGAGAATATCCCTACAAAGTTTCAGCCCTTTAGCTTATCTGGTTCCCGAGATTGCTTTCCAGCCAAAAAGTTTGCAAATTTTACTCAAATATGCAAATTTTTTTTAAAGCTTCCGCACGCGGCACCCAGGCGTCCGCGGGGTTGAAACTGAAACGGGAAGGTCGCGCATGGTATGGGCACGCATTCCCAGAGTTTCAGCCTTCTTTCTGTCCTCGAGTTGAAAGTGGGTGACAAAAAGAGCGAAACACACACACACACAGCCTCTTCCCAAAATGCGTTTTTGCAATTTGCATATATGCAAAAAAGCATGAAAATGGATGAAATGAGGCAATTGCTTGAATTTTCAACAACAAAAAAACATTGAAGAAGGCGCAAATTGGAACAGTGACCGATGCATGAGCTGGCGCGATCATGCGTCCTTGCAGTTAGCTTTTTATAACCACTAATTATGTGGATGTGTTCACACATTGGCAAGAATCCATGGTTTCTCGCTCTGCACCAAGTTGGCCTTTTTTCAAGGCTCAAATTTTGTTGGTTATGAAATAATCAAATTAGCCCAATCCTTTTCATAAATTGAGACAGGGAAGGTGGGGGTAGAAAATGAAAAAATAATCCAAAATACGAGCACAGACTTAAAAATAATCGTAAAAATCAAGCTAAGCTCAAAAAATAATCTGATAATAAAGCAATAAAATATTTTAACGTTGAAAAGAAAAAATTAATAAAATTTTAAACGTATTGAAAATTATTTTTAATGGCAAGAAATGTTTCATACTGGTTTCATACTTGAACGTATTGCTGTGGTTATAAATCGATACTTACAGGGAGTCTTATGAAGTTTTGGTGTTCCAAGTATAAAAGGAAATAGTTATTATCATCTAATTGAAGTCGAATTTGCCTATGCAAGTGAATGTGTCTGGTGGTTATTTCACTGCGATTTCCTCCAACCATTAATAATTAAAAAGTAGTATTGCAGGTAGATGCATTTTTGGAGAAATTAATTCGAAGTTCTGAAGAAAGTAGTTCCATGTAATGTCTTTTGCAAGTAAAAGCATAGTTCTTGGGAGCCTTTCTACCGACGTGATTACGAATTCTTTTTGTATGTTTTGAATGTCTTTAATGAGTAGGGTTTTGTTAATGAAGGAACTATTTCTATAACTGTAATTGTAACTAGTTATTAGAAGTTGTTCCAATGAATTAATACTATCTGCTTTATATCTCGATAAGTCTTGCATGGGTAATGAATTTGTATGAAGCAAATATGTAATGAAATGGGAAAATCCCGTGGAAAATTTATTAAGAACTGTAGGTGGTGAATGATTATGCTGAATTCGAAATTTACATTCATATTTAAGAAGAGTTAGAGGAGATTTGCTAGGGCTAACATTAATATTTGATGTAATAGTATGTTGTGCAGATGTAAATTGAGAATTACTGTAGTTACATGGTAGTTTTGTTAAGCAAAAATTATCCGAACATTACTATCTAAATTATCAAGAACCAAATTATAACTAATTATCGATTAGCTAATTGGCATATCATGCCTGAATGCTATACGTACTGGTAGTATGTATTTTATTCGTCAAAAGGACCTCAAAGTTTGATTATTAACCAGATGAATGTAACTAATATTATCATAAATAGGGCCTAGGTATTATAAGATAATGTGGAATGCTTAACCTTTTTTACGCTTGTTACTTAAATTATTAAATTTATGATGAATATAGG